AAACTAAACAGCCTACAGTATTTTTACAGTCTTTATTTTACAGTTAAAATATATGTTTATTAAAAAAAAGTCAAATGTTACAACTAATCAGTTAAAAACTTCTATTTTGGATTTTATAGGCACAACTGGATTCAAGAGGCACACGTGATGTTGAAAAGTTTTGAGTCTTCCAATTTGGACTTAGAGGTGAAACATAAACCTTAATTTGTTGACTCTTCCAGGTTTTCCCCTTTCCACAGTCGCTACATAGCTGGAGAGGTGCTGAGGTGCAAGGGCCGCTCAACACTGCTTGCAGCTTTAATTATTATTGTTGGTTGAGCTCAGATTTTTATTCAGATTTTTTTAAATCTTTCAATGGAAATATGAAATATAAACGATGGGATATCCAATGTCTTCCCAATTTTACATTGAGGAATATTATTTTGAAATTGTTTCACTATCTTTAGGCAGTTTTTAGCATACTGATGAACCCATGATTTTAGCATACAGATGATGCTCATCTTTATTTAATAGGCTGCAGTCCAAACAAAAAATCTGGTGGAATGATTCATTCCACCAGAATGTGGAGACTACACAGAATAGTGGAGACTTTGGAGAATGGTGGAAAATCTTTGATGATATGATTGAGATTTGTAAAAAAAACAAGCACAAAAAATGCTCTGTAATGATGCCAGCTGTAACTCCCTGTAACTAAAATATGATCTTCCTAATCGAACTTTAGATGGAAGTTTTTCAATTGGTATGTCTTTTAAAAAATCCTTTTAATTCTAGTAATTTAATTTCCTTTCAAATTGTTTGTTTCTCTCTGCTGGCAGCTGTAGGTCACGTTTGACATATATTCCATTGTGAATATTGGTTTATGAGATTTGCAAATTATTGCATTCAGTTTTTATTTACGTTTACAAAGCGATTAGGTTTCCTAGCTGCTACTTTTTAACTTGAAATTTCTGCCTACCTAAATTTTCTACAGGACTAAGCYATTTTGTTACTTTAATCTGACCAAAATCAGTTTTCTTTGCTCTCCAATTTGACAAAACTTTATAAGTTTTTAACCTGGGTCACTTGTCAATTAATTAATAGAAGACAAAAAAAGTAAACTATATTTGTTCCTTCTAAAAGGTTTTCAATATCAAGACCTTATCTTAACTTAGACGTATGACATCAATTACCATAAAAG